TCTTAGAACAAACTAAGGAGAGATCGGGCTTACCTTGAAAGGCCCGTCCTGGCTTCAACCTTCCCAAGGTCACATGTACAAGGGGCACGGCAGGGGGGTGGGGCACATGAGTGCTTTTGGCACCAGAGGCGAAAAAGGTTCACCATCACTGTTCTAGGCTCTTTGGCGCTCAGATTTCTAGCAATGACTGTGGTACTTTGTGTAATTGTAGGAAATTCTAACTGGTGGGTAGTATTGGGGCTGTACTGGCTGTACCTCTATTTCTCAGGATGGTCTGTCTTACTTTTCTCCAAGCCTTCTACCTATGGGAAAGCTGCTACTATTTCATATCATCATTTCAATTGTTACAGCTTTGTCACTTCTGTTAGCCCCACAGGTAATATTTTGGTCTGTTTCTCCACTACTCAGTTCTGGTGTCTTCAACTCATTTCTGAATTCTTTTCCTTTCCTTTCCTTTTTTCATTTTTCTCCATCTTCCGTACCAACCACTACTTTTCTTTCTTTCTTCACCATTCTTCCCCATCAGGCAGAGCCTGTTTAAATTGAAAAAGGAGGAACAAGCTCTTAGGCAACAGTGGGAGGAGGAGATGCTTGAGCATTTTCTTCACAGTGTGTTCTTCCTATCACAGACAGATACTGACTTAAAGTTAGAAAAAGGATCACCACAAGAAAATGTAGAAACTTCCTAAAAAATTTAAACAGGTTATTTTTTATTGGGCCAATATTTCTTCCAAATCTGAAACAGGTCAAAGTTATCTTTCCTGTTTTTCATGATGCATTTAAAGTACAAATTTGGATCTTTTACATATAAATAGATATATATCTTTTCAGGATTTTATGTTACTGAAAGAAAGTTTTCATAATCTCTTATTAGGGGATAAGCACATTAAATACCCACACCCCCAAAATACCCACTCCATAATCATAAACCTTTGGGTTTATAGAACATGTCATTAACTACATGGAACATTGTCCTAAGATACAAATTAATTTGCTCCCATGATTGGATAAATGGGAGAAACAAGGAAATGAACAATTAGAAATGAAATAAAGACAATATTTGCCAGATAAGATCAGTTATTTTTCCTTTAGTGCTCACATGTATGCAAAATATTTGTGTGCTTTTAAAGTTTTGGTTAATGCACTGACCAAACCATTCTTTTCTTTAAAGCTACATGTTTAAAAACTAGTAATCATGACTTATTTATGGTTGATGGTGATTGAGTGTAGCCCAGTGGAACAAAGCAGAGAAAAATATCAGATTTGATTATCAAAACACTCTTGGTCTATGATAGACTCTCAACTTGGTAAACTCTAAACATGTCATAAGCCATGCTTCATGGTGAAGAACCCTTTAAACAGGCACATTTGTTAGTATCTTGTTTTGTTTTTTGTCTTTATGATAGTTTATTCCTGACTATTAGTCAGATGCTGGTGTTCTACCTTGCTCTAATTTTGGTGAATCTTCTAGATGGAGAAATGTCTGATTTATGTGCAAAGGATCAGAATGTTTCCTAAATCTTCAAAGAATGTAGTAATAATGTTGTAACATCACTAGAGGGGGCAGAAGCAACATTTTCAGTCCTGTGCATAAGTGTCCACAGTTAGCCATGATGATACCAAAAGATGAAACACTTGTACAACAGAAGCTCTGCTATTTCATACTTGTATTGTGGTATTGCATACAAGTATATAAGGAGCAAGGTTTGCATCATGACATATATTTTATCCCTTGCTCCCCCTCCCCAGCCTTCCTTATTTTAAATAAAATAGATGTGCAATGCTTATTGAAACTATTTATTGTTGCTTTAATGGAAAAACGTGCCACTGAAAAGGATGTTTGCCTATAGAATCTGCTTTTATAGTATTCATAGGTTTGTATGCTTTTACATTTTATTGAAGGAGATAAATTGTTCTTTATATTGGGGGTAGAAATTGTCAGCTTTAACAGACTCCTTTAAATTCCAATTTTGAGACAGAATGTAATGAATTCTTCAGTGAAGAAAATCTGGCAGATTACATCCAGCATAACACATGGGATTTTATACAAAAGGAATAGAAAATGGCATGGAAAACTGTTGTCCTTTATCAATGTATTATTGTGTATTATTGCTGAATATTGAGATAAAGGATATGGATCACTGTCAGTTTATTGATTATAGTGATGCTCTAAAAGAAAATTAGTCCTTAAGCTAATAAAATAGCTAGAGCTATCTTCTCACAGCTTCTCCAGATTGGGTAAAATAGTAGTTGATACAAGAGTTGTTGGAAGTCAGATGGCTTATAAATTGTATGCATGTATGAATAAACAACAACTCTTGCTTATCAGGTCACAAAGAAACAACTAAATGGTTGAATATAAAGAACAAGGTGTCCTTTTTATGCAAGATATGTTGGGGCCAAAGTTCTAGGGAGAATACCGGTAATGAATTGGAGATACCTCCATTCTGCCTTGAATGAGTTAAAAAACAACCTTTGTCCTGTTTTCTTAAGGGTTTGTGAAAATAATTACTGTTCCATTGCAGAGTAAGAATGCCATACAATTTTTAAAATAATATGACATGTGCTCCATTAAAAACCATTTCACTTTTTTGCATAATTTTTTCACCCGTTAAAACTTATGTCATATTGGCTCTCAGCCATTACAAAGTATTCCTCATGTGAAAACTATTTCTGATCTTAGCTACTAGGTAAAAACTCAGTGTTAATGGATTGAAAGAATCTTCCTGAGCAGAAATCAGATTCTAGTGGCCTTAAAGTTTAAGTTACTTTATCGCTAACTACACTAAGAGATACTATGTAGAAATGACATTTCGTAATTCCATATTCCAATTAATTTAAGAACATTATTGCTTCTGTTTATCTGTAGCTTTTTTCCCCTGATAACATAATTGCTCTAATGAAATAAAGAGTGGCTTTTATAAATGAAATAAAAACAGCTTTCTTTTTTCAGCCACCTACAATCTAATATATATCTAAGATTTTTTCAAGAATATTGCCCAATATTACTATAACTAATAACAGTAAACTGAAAGATTATAAAATGATAATTTAGCAGCAAGGTAGTTATGAAGGTTACTTCACAATGAATAAAATACAGTTCCATGTAAATTACTAGAAGAGTTCATGCTGGAAAAGACTATATAAAAATGATGGGGGGAAAAAAACTCTTCAAATTCCTCCCTGTTATAAATTGGAAAAAATCATTGTGTAAAAACCTTAATTTGCAGTAACAAAAAATGGAGAATTGGTGATAAAGAAGAAAAGGTAGGATAAATTTGGGTGTATCCTATAGTAGGATTCCAAATTGTGAATATATGTTTTAATGGAAGATGTTAAGAAGGTTTCCGTGATGTATTTACTATGATCTTAATCTAGGTTGCCGATCGCTACATATAACATACATTGCACGATACAACAATCTAATCTAAATATTTTTAACATGTAGATTGTTATACCATTACTGTATTATTATTAATAGAGACAAAAAGCAGCCTTGCCTCATGGTTAGTATATAAACTATGTGGCTTCCTGGCTGGATATTAGGCTTATGCAGAAGTGGTTTGCAAAGTGTGTTGATAATGAGTGAAGCACCTTTCTCTATGCATTAGAGCACCATCATTCTTTCAAGATTTACATTGTTCATTTCAAGACTATCTAATTTTCTGCCTATGTGTATACATGCAGCTCTTCTATTGGGACCGTCACGAAAGTATAATACCTCCTTAGGTACAGCAACCCCAGAATATTGTGGACAGTCTTCAAAGAGGCCAACAGTACTTTCAAAATGCACTGTAGCTTTGAGGCTTTTTGGAGTAGTGCTTTGCTTACGTTTAACACAGTTGGTCAAGAGCCGCCTTCAAAATCTTTGGTCAACCCTACATGTATTATCAAGATACCTGTGTTCTTGAAGCATTAGGCCAGTCTTTCTATTTATAGCTAGGATAATTCAGCTATCCTGCTTTGTGAAATGATAGATGTCAATGGATCACTAAGAGTTGGACTTGACATTTTGACTTGACATTCCAGTAACTGGATTAATTTTATAAATGACTTTAGGAAATGAATTCTTATTAAATCATACCCATCCTTATCATCAAACCAGGTAACAAAAAGTTACAAAGTTCTGAAATCATTCATTTGAAATGCAGCCATTCTAAGCCTTGTTCAGTGGTGTGATTGGGTGCAGAGAAGCCACTTATGGACTATGGCTGCTTTTAACAGTTCAGACTTAACAATTGTTTGTTTGCCATGGCAAAAATATTAACTAATTTTATTTCATAATATATCATTCCATAAAACAAAAATATATTAGGCTTAAAATGCATACTTGCTATATAGTCATTACAATCATAGTTGGAAAATTTAGTGTCTATTAAAGCCATTATATGTTAACCCAACTGCTTTAATTTTATTTAGTTTGCACTGGAGCAATTGGGATTTCTTTTGTAACAAGTGTCATTAATTTCAGTGCAACTTGTGCAATCAATGCTGACTTTCTCTAGCTCCAATCTATTAAGAATAAAGGGAAGCAATTTCCAGCAAGCCAGAAATACAGTGACATTTTTTCACTTCTTTCTCTAGTTGAAAATAAACCTCAGCTGGTTTCCCCCATATTTTAAAAGTTTGTTTCACATTTAGGATTGTTCTTTAAGATTAAGACAAAACATTATGGGAACTATACGCCTAAAAGTTTTTGTTGTCAGAAGGAGTATATCAAATGAAATATTTTTTGATATTGCTATCAGTAAATTGGTTTAATAATTGCCCATTTTAATTCTGAAGAGTTTGTTTTGTTTTGATGCTTACAAAATGTGGCTTAGTTAATTGTAGAAATATAAAAATCAGATTTCAGTGAAGTGGTATCTATGACCACAAATCTGATTTCAGAGAGATTTTGTTTCATGATTTAAAGAAAACTGACTTTCCTGGTTTTCTAGTACATTTTTTTTTATTATGAGTGAGAAACGTAACCCGTTATTAAGACTATCATCTGAAAGTAGTTTGTTTAATGGAGGATGGGGACAAGCAACATGGAAGATGATGCATTTCCCTGTTAACCCACCATATCAGTAATGGAACAATGGATGTTCCATACTTTCCCCCCAACTTTCTATGGCTTGATTTCCTTTTAATAAGCTCATATTTCAGCCAGTACAAGTACTTAATAAACCAATGAAGCATTTTTTCCCAAGTTGGGTATGAAGTAGTTTTTAATGCTTGTAGGTAATAAGAATACTGCATACATAGTTAATTAGATTTATCATGGGCAAAAACAGTCAGTGGAATTTTGCAATTCCACATTAGAAATAGGATAGGTATAATGTCAGTTCTTCAGAAAGTTATTGAATGGGATAAATATGACTTTTTCTGTTTTCCAGTTTTCATTTATCTGCTACTTCATTAAATACATTTCTAAGTCAAGAATGTTGTGTATCATGTCCTTCTGGTTGTTTTTGACCTCTATTACTATTAACTCTGGCCACCATTGCCAATGGAAAGGAACTATAGGAACTACAATTTGAGAATAGCTGAATAGCAACACCTAGTCAGTTCCTAGCCAAAACAAGATTATTTTAATACAATAAAACTTCTAACATGCTAGAATGAAAGACAGAAGTTGGAAACTATTCATATTGGTGGTAGCCTAGATCATTGGGTGAAGAGAAACCTTTGGAGAATATTCACCTATTTTGCAAATCTACTATCTGCTTTCCATGAGTGTTCAGAAGGACTGGCTCTTGTTTTGTTTGAGTGAGATCTTTGGAGTTTGAAATCATAATATCTTTTAAGATTGAAGTGTAGTTATAAACAATGAAGCAGTGATCTCAACAATTTAGTATTTATATTAATGAATTTTGCCAATTTGAAGACGCAGAAAAGTTCTGTTAAAGAACCTTAATAGAATCTCCATGTGTCATTGATAAATTTTAAAACCTGCTTATTCACCAAATGTCAGGATTTAATTGATAGTTTTAAAAAACCATTTTCTGTTCAGTTTGAGTGTCTTTATGGAAAACATTGTTAGTAGAATATTAAGCTATCTCTATAACAAAGAGTGGGATATAGGATCTTATCTTTTATATACTCTAGTTACTAGAGTAATTCTTCTTGGGTGGGTGCTGTTAGGTGAACTGAAAAAATAGATGGCATCACAGGAAACCTGATACATACCTAAATATTTTTTAACATGTAGATTGTTACATATTTTCCAAATAAAACTTATAAATACAACTTTTGGATTTAGTATATCTCACTGTAGTCTCTAAAAGTAATTCCTTTCTATTTTGATAGATCACTAAAATATTAGGTAAAATTTGTCAAGAAATAATGGTGTACCTTACATGGCAGTCAATGTGTTTTTACTATTGAAAGGACTTGTATTACAAGAAAACAGTTCATTAAGAATATTTTAATGAGGCAAGCTATGATCTGTATGAGATTTTATATTTTACATAGTTGTCAGTGTTCTTGTTCCAAGATATTATCTCTATTGGAGCAAGGGAATTCTTTAAAACCTCTGATAGCATTGGTGCCACATAAAATCGTGTTTGAAAGTTATGTATACTCAGCTGAAATTTCAGTCAGTGGGAGAAATTTGATTTGTATTTTTTCAGTTGTGTTTTTCACGGTCATTTTTTTAAAAAAAAAACTTTTAAAAATTAAATTAATATAGAATATTTGCGTAGTGAATTTTATTGGCACATAAAATAGCAATTGTACCACCAAGCTGTGCATGCTTATTATTGCACATCAACACAAATATCTTGATACTGCCTTTTCTCTTTTTCCTGCCATTGAAAACCTTTTGATTAATATTCCTTTTGTAATATTTTAAAGAATTAGATAATTTTTTTTAAATTAAAAAAATAATTTTCACACAATAAGTGCTTCCTCTTAAATATCTCCCTCTTAAGCACATCACCCCCCCCCGCCACTGTACATGCTTTCAACTGGATTTTTCTTTTTACACTTTGCAGTATTTTAAGTCCTTTTTAGTGCAGTTTACGATGACGATACTTTCCCGCTTTTTCTTTTGCCGTGTTGGCACAGGCATTGTGCTTATTCTGTTGCAAGTGATTCCAGTATTTGATCAGTTCGCTAGGCTGGAACTGATGGGAGGTAATTAGATGACTATATTTACAGCTGGAATAAGAAACCCGCCAGTGATTGAAGACAAACTCATTGGGTGGGGGCATTGGGTCAATTCTCAGTTTGGCAAGGCAGATGCCTACATACACATCCTCTAAATGCAACCGCCTGATACTCAGTGAAACCTTGAAAATCTTTTCCGCTAAATCTCCAGAAAACACGTAGCCAGTCCCAGAGCAGAACACAGGGTAGCGTTCGCTTGGATACAGATCAGGTGGCATGTACCACTTGCTGTCTTTGTTCCTGTTAGGTGCATAGCCCCTCATTAGGTAGCCAGTAAAGTATTTTTGCCGGGGAGGCAGCTCCGGTTTCAAAAGCTTGTGTATCAAATACTCCGTATTTACAAACATGTCGCTGTCAGTTTTCATAACGTATGCAACATTTGGGCAGTGGGTGGCCACCCAGTTCATCCCCATGAGCGTTTTAATTGTTAAGTTGTAATAAGTATCCACGTATTCTTGTTGGATGATATCGTGGTATTGCCTGCTTTCTTCCAGGATGGCTTGCTGAAGGTATCCATTCAGTTTAATACTTAAACCTAGCAAAAAAATCCGAAGTATTTGAATCCCAGGTGCCAAGCTTTCGTTTCCCCAGGTTTGCCTGATGGCTTGCCGAGGTTCCGCCTGGTCTGGTTCTGCGGCTATCAGAAGTATTAGGAAGGGACTTGATTCCTGGCATTTTTCAGGCTCATTGATGATGTATTTGAAATGATACGAAGCTGGACGGCCAGTTCCTTTTGCATTGTATATACTCCCATTGGCACTGAGCGTGTTCTCCAAACCAGTGACTCCCTGAGGTGACACTCCTGTGTCGTTGGAATTAGCCGTCATCACCTGTGGCCTCAGGGTTTGAGGAATGGCGTCTTTCCAAATGGTCCTTAAAGAGGAGTGGTTGGTTTCACTTCTTGTGGATCTAAATCCCCGTGTAGTATATGCCACAGGGTTTTCTTTGTATCCAACTCTCCCAGGCAGCCAATCGTGGTGGTTAAAAAAGAGAAATGTAGCAAAAAGGAACACAAGGGAGAGGAGGCCAATGAAGTGTGTGCGGAAGAGGGAGCGTTTGGTATTCCAGGTCATCTTGGCAAAGCAGCAATGCCTCCTCCTCCACTGAAGCATGTTGTAAGTATCCAATAAGGGATATGAGAAGGATCGAAGGAAGCGTTTTCTTGGCTTGGGACCCACTGCTATTTCATGGGATCCATCTTGAGCCTTTTGTAGGCAGATGGCTGGTGACCGACAAGCTCTGCAAAAACCAAAGGAGATTTAAGTGGTTAAGTTTTCAAAGGTTGCTTTCAAAGCTCTTTTTATAAGGAACATATCAAAAAGAAGAGGTATTTTTTTTACAGGAAACAATGATCGTAACTTATGCACTACTATTACATTTTCAAATTATTCTTCAAATCCATCCACAATACTTGCCCAGTTTGATGTTCTTGAATTTTTGATTTGTGCAATCTGTTTTAACAATTATACGAGACCAATACATGACACCGATACAAAACAGGATTATGTTCCCATGGTTTTAAAACTTTCTATCCTCAAGAATCCCATCTGCCTTTGCCACTGAAGTTCTTGAGTACAGCTGTTACCTTTTTTTAAGTACTTCCTGGTCACAGAGTTGCTACAATCCCATATACTTACTTATTGGGGTGTTTGTTTTAAAATAGGCTTGCTTGGAGCAAGATGATTAATGACTTGAGTAAAACCATGTTTCAACATACTGAAAAACTAAGGGCTCTCGGTAAAGATCAAATGTAAAGAATTTGGTACCCAGGGGCAGGATTATGGAAACTAATTAAAGCTAATTTGAATGCATTACCTAGCATGATTCACAGTATCTAGTCCCAATTTCTTGGGAAATTGTCATACGTTGATAGAGGTCATAAATGATTGATTATAGCAGAGCTCTGTTAGTCACAGAATGTTGCTTGGCTTGTTTCCATTGGGCCCTCCTGCGTTCAGAAAGTCAGTGAGAAGATGCACTTTTTAAAATTAATTTTCAGGATGCAAACAGCTCACTTAGATATCCTCCAGAATTAACAAATACTGAACATTTTGATTCATAAGTGATTTTGATCCTTTTAAATGTGCTTTAAAAATTACAATAGAACTTGATATTCTTTTCTTTATATGATTATACTCAAAAAAATCACATTAAATATCCCTTTAGCTTCTAAAAGCTGTTGTAATTTATTTGGGATTTCAACTATGTACTTGCACATACAGACCCACTCCCTATGCCCACTAGTAGCATTTCCTAGAAATAAATCAGTCTTCATTGAAAAGCTGTACTTATCTATGATGAGTAAGATACTTTAAGCAATATTTAAATATTTTTGGTAGATTTATAAAACATATCTTACTGTTACTTCATTTTTGTATTCTAGAATAAAGGTAATGTGGAAGTTTTATGATACTCGATACTAAAACTCATGACATTATCCTCAACTGAGCCATTTTGAATATAATATAAATTGATTTGTGATTCCGTGCATTGTTTTAAATGCTGGGGCTCTGAGCAGGAGTAAAAGTCATATGAATATTTTAATAAGATACTTTTTAAAATGTATATTTATACTATAATTACTGACTTCACTACCTCTTAAAAGCATATATTGGGGTTTTTTTTTAATTTAAAGGAGTACTGTTTTGCATGAATAGCATATTCAATGTCAGTTTCTCGTTTTAAAAAGAATGTGATTGAGAGGGATTATAATGTTAAATTGTCCTTAAATAGGGTGTTTCATCAAACAGGAACTTAAATATACAGTAGCAAAAACAGTTTGAAATAAATGGGAATACAGTCTTTTAATTTTTAATTTAAATTTAATTTAATTTTTCCAGTAGACATTAAGGAAAATTCAGTACGGTATGGAACACGTAGCAAATCTTTTGGGGTCTCAAAAGAAGCATTTTCTGTCATTCAGAACAAAAGCTCCAGTTCATCATGCTAACTACCACTAGGAGGAGCAAGTAGTAGGCTTAGCTTTGAATTGTAGGATGCTGTACATCTTTGTAAAACTTACACCATCCTTGAGCTATAAATTAAAATTCTCAAAACTGTTTTCTCTGGAACAATAAATATCCTACTAAAGTTGCTCCTTTGAACTTGAAAGATTTCAAGTTTAAACATCCACAATATAAACCCTGAATAAATTCTAACATTTTAATAATGTCTAACTTATAGTTTACACTTTTAATTAAAAATTAATAAAATTAAAATCATCATTTTAGATGATTTGTTTGTATATGCAAATATGTATTAACTACTTGAGATACAATTAACTGGTGCAGCTATGTGGAGGACACCGTGAGGACTTCCTGTAAGCTGTGTCTTTTGAGAACTAGATTTTATTTGAACTAGGTCTCCTGTATTTGAGTATTTAAACATGGCAGTTGTTCATTACATCTACATTTGTAGTACACTTAATAGTGTCCAGAAAAGGACAGTCTTTTGTTCTTTAAAGCATAGGTCACCCAATTATATTATAATAAGATGAGTACAGTGTTAATTAATTTTACTATTACATTATACCCAATCAAAGAATACATAAAATATTTAACATAATCTTAGCTGAAAACAACAACATTGATTTTGTAAGAAAATTTAGCAATTATATCAGTTATTTAATGTTTGCATCCCTAAAAGCCACCCTTGAGGGTCAGGAAACTACATGGCACTGAGATAAACAAGAACAGGACTGTGGAAGAAGCCGGTGCTTGCTCTCTGATCATAAATGGGCCACTTTGGATCGTGGCCTACATTAAAGAGCTATGTTAAATGCCTCCTCGAGTTTCAGGTGCTCAGCTCAGATTGAATACTAAAACGATGTTGTTTTGTTTTGGTTATAGGCATGCATATTTAAGTTGTTCATAATTTATTTTTATCTCTTGAGAGCTCCAGACAGTAATCAGAATATTTGAGGGGAAAAGTAGGAAGAATGAAATTTTATGTATCAGACAGGGCAAATTTTTTAATGTCTGTATTAAATAGGGCCTGATCTTAGTTTTGACATACCTGCATTAAGACTTACCAGATGGAGGAATCTTCATTAGTCCTTTTAAAATCCTAATAGTTTAAACAAAAATCCATGGAATGTAAAACAACCTATTTTGACTGAAGATTTTTAAACATTATACATGATAGATATTTCAAAATACGTGTTTTCAGGCTGTTTATTCTATTCTTATAATTTACCTCAGATTTTCTCCTATTATTTTCTCAAAACCAGATTTCTCTATTTTAAAAAAATTATTATGAGTTTTGCCTAAGGCAATGAAAAGCCATTTATGCTTAACAATCATTAATCATTTAGTATTAGTTGTTGGCTGGGGTTTTGGAAGAGAAGGACTCGGGCAGTAAAGCAGTATTAAAATTGCAATGGATTGAGCTCTTAAATTTTTATTACAGATAAGTAACCTGTGATTTTTCCAATAAGCATTTCAGACAAAACCATCAAGTTTAAATGACTAGGAATGCTGGCAATGTAGTTGTTTAATAACATCTTTTGTTACTATGCAGCTCAAAGCATTACATGCTACTCAGAACTTGGGATGATGTGGTATGTGCCCCCATCTTGAAGGAAATAGTATATTGATGCTTCCTTCTGAGAATTCTGATGGCTATTGAGATTACTACCTACCCAATTGATCCTGAGCTCAAGTCCCAAAACCATCCTTTTTTAGAGCCCTTTCGGAGGATTATGTGTTAGGTGTGGCTGCTAATAATAATCAGATGGCACTGGGTGTTAGGGGCTAAGGGAGTAAATCAAACCTTGAAAGGTTGAAGATGCTATTGAACTTGCTGGACTGCCTAAGTGTGTTTTGATGGTATCACATAATAGCTGTGTTACTAGTGTTACCCAAACACTAGTAAGAGTAAAATTGTTCCTAGTTTCATTAGTTGATTTTTTAAGAGATGGATAGGGTGAAGGAGATGTTTTTGTATAACTCTATTATTGCTAATAGTCTTTCCTCCCCTTTCTTTTCCATTTTTCTAATCTTCCCAGTCTTAGCACTGGACTACAAGTGATGGGTTTTTTTTAACAAGCACATTTCAATCCAGTCACATTTTTATTAGCTGTGCATACAAAAAAGCCTTGATACATTATATAAATGTATACATTAACACAGTTAATCACCCACGGAAGCATTAACTCTGACTTCTTGGTGAGTGAATGACAATGCGCTCTATTCCGTTAAGAAATCATGCACTTGAATGAAATACCGTACAATGATTTGACATACCTTCCTCGTTCAGGCCATTTGTAGCATGGAAAGATTAAGCTCAGTGCAAGTAGTTTTGGCACACCATCCCTTCAGCGGAAAAGATGCTATCAGCCATGCTTTCGTCTCCCTCCCCCCCCAACAGCCTGCTTCCCAAGGCTGCTTTTCACGGCATCCACTGTGTCCCTCTCTCTGCTTCCTTCCCTGTTCACCAGCCGCCTTGCCTTGAATTCTCTGTGGTCATTTCTCAAGGGACGGAAGCAGCACTTCTAGTTCCCATCCTCCCAGACATTGTCTGCTGCTGCTGCTGCTGCTGCTGACAATAGAAGCATTGAAGCTTTTACAGTTGGTGGTTCCCTTCGTGGACAATGCGGTGCTGTGTTCTCTCTCCAGGATCCATATTTCTAGTGGCGATGGGAGGCAAAGCAGCAAGGGCTAGCTAGAATCGGGAGCTGTTCCCCGGCATTTGATCATAAAGATCTAGCCCACTTTCTTCATTGTTGCTAGGCAGTAACCAGAAAGGATGAGATGAAAGACGCGAGGAAGAAAAGGGATTTAACGGGAGGTTTTGTGCAGAAGAATCCAATCCTCCGTGGTTCCTCGGCTGCTGCACAGGAAGGGCAGCAGTTGAAATGTGGGCTTTTGACAGATGCTGTCTTCTGACAGAGCAGAATTTCACGTCATTGCTTGGCTATGCCCCACGTGACGGTTTGCATTCATTCGGGCTGAATCTAAGAGCAGCCAGAGAGAGCTCACTGCTTCTGCTTCCCTTCGACAGAGGATGCACGCATGCAGCATAGCAGTGAATGAATAAAACGAGAGATAATGGGGATTGATGAGATCGGTGCGTTTTCCCCAATTGCCTCCCTTTCTCTTTAATGCTATAATAACTACCACTTCCTACACATGCCTTAATGGTCAGATATTAGTTTATCTGAATCCAGACAGATTTCTGCATTATATAAATGCAAACTCTTTATAGTATATTGACCTTTGCCATTTTTAAGAAGCTACCTTGGGATTTTTACAAATTACCTTGAGATAAATTTATTGGCTTATACTAGCCATAAGCCTTGTTTTGAAAATGTTAGTCAAAACAGGTTCTGCCAGTTTTAACGCCATATTTTAAATATATAAAACAATTACATCATCAGAGTAATAATTTGATACCCATTTCTTTAAAAAAAAAGAGGCCAAATGTTTATTTAGTGAAACATTTTAATCGCATGTGGTTAAAAAAACACTTGAAGAATTCCATTAGCCAAGTTTGAATATAAAAGCATCATTGTTTTTATGCACATCTGAGAGGGGGAGGGGGGCAAATGATGTCATTTCTCTCATAATGCCATTGCAACAATGACTCATTTGTGCTGTAAGCATTGTGGTTTCCACTAGATTCCTTCATCTCAACTGAGATTAAAAGGAAATATTGACATTGAAAGGGAGATATAACTTCCTTGACAGGCGATGCTTATAACTTTGTTTTCTATGAATTTATTTCTATTTCCTTTTTGTTAGTTATTATTCTTGATAATAAAATAAATAATTTTAAATGTGCATTGTGTAAATATATATTTTTTAAAAAACATGGTTTTCCAAAATCTTCTACCAATTCAATTTCATAGGATGAGCCATGGTTTGTAATGTAGTTTGAAGGAGAAAGAGTTTTATCATGTTAAACATTTGTAAATGTTAGAGTTAATCGCAATTAATCGTTAATCGAGCAATTAGATCCTCATTCATTTTCTTTCTGAGCGAAAAAAAATGTAATTGTCTGTGACTTTAGGAGTCTTTTGTGAATGAATTTGTCAAAAACATTTTGCAAATCCAAATAAACAGTGGTTGCCAGAATATTGTTTACCCATTTATTGACATTCCTCAAAGCTTTAAAAGATTACAAATTCAGAACTTTTTCAAAAGCCACTTTGATTTTTTTTTAAAGAAAAAGTATATGTCTGAAACTTTTGAATATTGAATAATGCTTTTGATCAGTGTATCCTGTAGAGAGATTTAAGTAACAGATTTATAATTTCCTTTCCCCTCTCCTGATCACTTTTTTTTAAAATGACTTTGTTTTAACTACTTGCAGAGAACAGCATTAGAAACATAGTAATCTATATTTTCCTCTACTTCTGCTTTATGTGTTATGCCTGTTGTGTATTATGAATGCCAGTGTGGTGGTTAAGGAGGTTTACTAAGAATGTACTTAGAATAAGTCTACCCCACCCCCAGAAATTCACTGAGTGATTTAGGACCAGTTATTCTCAGCCCTTACAAACCTTACAAGTTTGTTGTTGTAGAAAAAATTAGGAGGAAGAAATTAGCTCCTGGATGAGAAGTGGAATATAAATATAATAAATAATTCATGTTAAAAATTAGAGAAATATACATGTGTAAGCTTCAGAATTAACAATTGCTAGGACTAGAAAGGTAAATGTAAATGCTAAATTGATATATTTAGGATCTTTGTGAAATATAACTTCATGGATATATGTATATGTGTACACACACACACACACACACACACATATATATATCCAAACTATGTGAACTTTTTCGGAGTCAGAAGTATAATATTGTCAGCTGCCCAGATTCATCTCAATAGTGAGATAACCAGCAAAGAAAATTAATTATTTAATTGGCATTGGATGTATGCTGGATTTCATCAAGGTCACAAAATGGTCACATCAGACCACAAAACAAAGTGCGATAATTCAAAATAGATGTTCATTTATCTGAAATGGATCTAAAAAATCTGAATCCATTATGTGTTAATTCTCCACAAGCTCCATTTTCAATTCATTTCTCCAAGGTCTATCATATTGAGAAAATTAATATGGAACTATGAGAGATGGGGAGGCTGTACTCGCGTGTATCCGTCTAAAATTTCATGTGAATGCTTTTGTTGCCAATAGTTGGCTCAACAAATTATATCACATCCTGTCCTAAAATAACTTTGTTGATCATAAAAACAAACAAACAGCATTGACAACAATACTATAGATGTGACACTAATTTACCCATTTACTCAATGTGATCCAGTCAGCCTGATAACACATTGTTCTAAAACAAAGAATATTTTTCCCCAGTTTTGTTCAGCTGGTCCAATAGGAATGGACTGACAAATTACTTGGAACACTTGCATCTTGGTTCGTAGACTTAAGTTTGTATAAAGCATAAAATATGTCCATGGTAACTCTTCTGAAAAGTTTTTTTAGGTTTATATTTTTTTAATGTTTCTTTGGGCTATTCTGATTTTTGGCTATTTTGTCATGTTGACAAACCTAAGAAAAATTTGTTCTGACATGTACCTTTACCCAGAATTCATTTATGAAGTGGTTCTGCCCCATTTTCTTCTATCACGTCTGATACATCTCTGTCCTTTCGTACTTAGTTTGTTCCATAATAACCTAATTCACCTGTTTTTCCACATTAATGATGCTAATATGCAACCTAACTATAGAGTACACCCCATTGCTATTTGACTATTAAGGTGTAAGATAATCTGCAGTCATGTTAAGCAAATAAGTTACAGTTTGTATGTTTGCAGCAAACACAGTTTCCTATATCTTTTGTCATATACTGTACCAAGAGTGTGACATCCCCAGTAAAATATATTTGATTCACAGATGATAACTCCAATTGTTCTTTTCCCAAAGGTTATTTTTCCCTTTTTGGAATGCCATTGTTCTTTACTGATGTATTATTTGTCTGTGCCTACAGAGGAACTATCAACCTGACAATGGAACCTATCTGTTGTATTTGTTGTGCATAAACTTCTCTGTCCTTTTAGCCTTTACAGTTCTCCAAGGAACAGAGGCTCTCTGCAGATTCATTTCAATACCTTCTAAAGAAAGGTCAAACATACTTTGTTTCTGATATTGGCAAAGACAGGAATAAACAGTAGAGACATATTAATAATGACAAACTTGTATTATTAAGGTTAGTAATGAAATGAATTTGGTAATAATCCAATATGCAGAATTGTGGCGAAGAGGGTTGCTATTTATATCCAAGTACTACAAATGTAAGGTTAGTGTCTTGTTTCATATAGATCTAGCTACGTACTTCAGTCATGAGCTTTTTATTCAGAATAAACCCTCCTTCTCAACACGTGAATCAATAAATGGTTAATTCTTCCTTATATTTTGCAGTAATGGTAACAAATTATAGTGTTAATTTCAGGTATTTAAATCAAAGTAATGTGTGTACTTCTAGTTTTTCTTTTCCCTTCCCTTCAGTTTAAGTTCTAATTCACCCTAGTATCCTATTAACAGAGAAGAATGTTGAGAACTGTGAAGTGGCAAAGGTTGTGGAACAGGTTTTTCATGCTTTTAATAATCCTTGAGATTAGTCATTATCCCAAATGTATAGCGGAGATCCTGTACATTTGTAATATACGTCTTCATTATGAAAGCCTTTATTTTGTAAAAATGAATACAAATAATGAGACACAGTTTTATATATATGTATGTATATATGTGTGTTGTATTTGTGCTGATAAATAAATAAAGGGAGACTAGTATAGATCTATTTCAAGCTATTTAGCTCTCATCAGCTAGCCATACCCTTACTGGGATTAGAACCTGTGCTGTATTACATATTAGGCAGTTGTGTTAGCCACTAAGCCACAGGTTCTCCTCCTTTATCATATATATATATATGAATCAAAAGTTAATTTTCTTCACTAATAAATATTTGAAGGGAATAGTGATAAAAAATACTTAGATGATATCTAAATAAGATTAGGCATTTAAATAAGCCACACACTTTTATTATTTAATTATACTCTTGTTGAGAAACACACTATTCTCATGTTTATATCTTTATCACAGATTGTATGAAAACCATGGCAGATGTATATATTGGCCTACTTTCTTTTTTGAATTCACAGACTGATAGAGTTTCTTGTGTGAAGTTTGGTAAAGTGCTAGAAACTCAAGGTTTAGCTTCCATTAAGTGCATTTCCTAGCAATAGTTAGGGAATACAGTCAAAAGTTCATTCCTGCTAGTAGCCAAAACACAATGTATCCTGTTTAGGGATGCTCAGCTATCTCAAACAGTAGTCAGGATATTTATTGCTCAAAATTTACAATAGCTCTGAGGTTTCATTAAGTAGATTTCTGAATGAAATTTCCTAGTATATATCTATATATGCCACATTTTTATTGAAAATTCAAACTGTAGTATTAAAATAATACTCTTTGGCATTTATGTTTGTATCCTTAAATAGGCAAACTGTTATTTTAATGTTTAATACAACTCTAGAGCAAGTAGGAAGAAAAAAAATCTGTAAAATGACTGCATAGTCATAAATGTGACCAAAGAGATTGAAGAGGTGGACCTAATGCAAGCTTTCTACCGAAGCACACCTTGAATGGATTAGTATTTCCTCCTGTCAGTGTGGATCATTGCATAAGTACAGCTACTCTGTACTATGTGGATTAGTAATGTGTTGCAATATTAATTAGATACCAAGACTGTTGTGAATGAAAGCTATAAACTACAATAAATTCCACCCTAGTAAATTAATTTAAAAAAAAATACTTGGCAGGTGTAGGAATAACTAACTTCTGATCTGGGCATGACTTCTTATTCTGCTCTGTATTCAGATTTATGGTGAGGGGGATGTAGGGTGCGTTGTTGTTGTTTT